GCAGAGTTATGCCTGTGGGGAGTGAGGTTGGCTCATTGATGGGATCATGACCGGTTGTGAATAGCTTCACTTATTTCCTAATTAGGTAATTTGTATTGGCGGCTTTGAGTCACGTGTTCTATGGATTTGCTTTGTTATATTGGCCAACAGGGCAAATCAACCAATACTGGCGTAGGGGCAATCAAATCAGTCAAATCTTGGCGTCATTTAATTTATTGGCTTTAACGGCAGCGCTGAGAAGCAATACCTCAGGAAAATTTGGTTCATACTGTTTTGTTCATACGATGGTCATGTCTCTAATCGAACCCTGTCGTATGGCGCTTCGGAAGATGGAACAAAACTAGTTCTATCATGCTCAAATCTTTATGCGTAATGAAGACTGTCCTGCAATTGATGAACCATCAGTGAAGATGCATAGCCAGTCTGGGAATCAAAAAGCAAAAAAGAAGCCACTGGGTGGTTTTGAACCACTAGCAATTGGCAGGCTCGGCGCCACCGATTGGAGCTGGGGCCCTACAGACTCCGACACATGACTCTAACCTGCCCACCAAGGCTTCGCATCCAGTGGCGTGAGGCTCACGTCCCAATCCGTACTTAAACCCGGTGGTCGAGAGGTCGGGTCATCGGTTCAATGATGCCATGAGTTGACCATTCACCAGTAGTATTGCCTAGTGCTCTCTCACCTTGACGTGCACCCTGGGTCCACTAGTTCGGCAGGCTGTGGACGCCTCAGGCCAGTGGGAGCTTCAGCTTTGATCCACTTTGTAATGAGCCAGTAAGATAATAGGAAACATCATTGGTATCTCACTTCTCGATCGGCCACTTGAAAGGCTGGCGTGGTTCTGCATGGCCTAAGGTAGTTCCTATCGCGAGACTGACGCTAGCAACCCGCGCCCCACTTTACGTCCATCTGAATCTCCTTCGCGAATTTTCATCCTCTTGTTTTTTTTCTTCTTCAACGCGTCATACTCATCAAGCCAGGCCGCGGCCCCGATTCGACGCAGCTGGCCAGGTAAGACCATTCTATCATAAGGAACGCCGTCCCAAACATTAGCTGACGCTCAGATCAGGCTTCGCGTACCTTCGCGCGACGATGTCGTTCACGGCCAACACCAATCCCGCCGCGCGCCGAGTCAACCACGACGTTCTCCGCCATATTCCAGGCCTCACTTGGACTCCCCGAGCCGATTTCCTGCTGGGCGACGACCTCGCCTGTTGCATACTTCTGAGCCGCCGCCTTGCTAACAAGAACCGCAAATTCGAGCGCAACGTCTACCTTGAAAAGCTCCGAACCCGCCTGGCTTCCATGATCACCGACGCCCTGAACCACATCAAGCTGGTCCAAGACGGCATTGAGGAATTGCGCAGCAACTTGCCGCACGTTCGCCGGAAGACGTTCTAGCAGCGCGTGTTCCTGACTCTCCGTGTCAAGCGCAGCTGGGAGGTCTACAACCCCATGGGAGAGCGCGAAGAGGAGCTCATCAATCGCTTCGCAGATGCTCGCGCCGACTACCTCGCCATGCATCTTCAGAGCTCTGTAGAGGGCCACGAGACCTACCAGACGCTCCTTGATGCCTTGGATCAGTAGAACGCGTCCAAGCATGATATCGCCCGTCTCTTCGTCGCTCCCACCGACCCCGCCAGCAATGTTCAGCCCCTGCTTCTTGACAGCCCTGCCGATAAGGCTAGTCAACCGGTCTCTACAACGACAGCAGACATGGACAGGCCCACTGTACTTGACTCAGAGGTCGCCGTTTGCGCCCCTCTGCCGAGCCCGTCCGAGCCTGACCCGGACCCCATCGTCGACCGCCTACCCTACGCCAGCGCCACGACTCCCGGCAACGCCCCAGCCGCACCCGATGACGAGGCGCCCGTCTCGCGTGCTGCACTTCGCTGGCTGTGGTCTCGCATCCTCCCAGGCTTCAATCAACGGGAGACTATCTTTGAGAAGCGTATTTGGAATGAGGATGACCTGGATGAGTTCATGCAAGAGTGCCCTCATCCCGTCTGAGTATCACCGTGGGTGTAAGAAGAGGTCTAGAAGTTCTCACTCTATGCTTCTAAGACGTTGAGCTTCGTCGGATGCTCAGGGGCATTGAAATGCAGAAGGTCTGATTGAATAGGTTTTGAAGCTGGATTAGAATGACTTGGACGAGATGATAGAAGTCAATACCACTATGTTACATGTTGATTCCACATTCTTTCTCAATAGCGTTGTTCTGTGTATTTTGAAATTCCGTGGACATTTTCCTTTCGTAAATCGTCTGCGTCATCGTCGTTGTCACGGAGTCCGACAAAGGGCATGCGGTCAAACGAGCTCACCACTTGGAATTCAGTGATGATACTGGCCGGCTCAGTTGAACTGTGCTCTGATAGGTTGAGTCAAGTCAAAGGTGAGAATGAGTGGGTCGCACCGGGGCGTGGGAGCTGGCGGAGGGTCTTAGGCAAGAAACGATCGGGAATTCTCAGCAACCCTAGGGGAAAAGAGCTGGTTTGAGTCGGGTGGTGCAGTCGTAGGGCCCCGGCTTGCAGGTCACGCCGCGCCGGTTCATTAGTACCACTCTGGTCCACCAGAGAGCAAGGGTTCAACTCCATTTTTTGACTCTTTTTTTGCTTTTGTTTTTCAAGTTCTGTTTTCCGCACGTATATGCGTTTTGTCACTGCTGATGATGCGACTTGTGTTTACCGAGTTCGTTTCTCGGCATATTGTTTGTTGCCATGTAGTTATGATTTGGCGATTGCGCTACTAGAGCGAAGGCTTGATGCTGCTGCAGCAGTGCTGCTCATGCAGACTCAGGCGCTCAAATGCTTAGCTTGCACCACCCAGCCACTTGGTGCCTTTGTCTGCTGTGGCTAGAATAGCCCCAGTGTTCGCTGTCTTTTCGCAAGCTTCGCTATTATCGGGTATTGGACCCTTACTTTCTTCACAGACCAGTTGCCAGACGGCACGCGCCTACTACGCGGCATCGCCAAATTTCGATTCCAGATGGCGTTGTCGTTGAATCAAGGTGGTGGAGCCAAGCACGCCAAGGGCAAGGTTTCGGCGCCACCCATGTCGCGTGCCAATCATGCACTGCGGCTGCACCGAAAACAGCACTGTGGCTCTGCGCTAAGATGCTGTGGGTTGCAGATAATTTTGGGGCAGGATTGCGGTTGCGACGCAAATCTCCGTGGCAAGGTCGTATCGAAGTTTCACTCAGCTTAGCAGCTGTTGAAATCCTGCAGCAGCTAAATTTGCGCAAAACAAAATGATTGTTCACGATCACATCAAAGGCTCAGTGTGGCTGGTGATGGACAATCGAGGCCCCACCGGCAGAAAAGAGGCTTGCCGAGGCGGTGAGCGAAAACGTCCTGGTAGCCCGAGATAAGATGCTCTCGCCCTGCCGGGCTTTGCAATCAACTGATAAGGAGCCATTCACCGCTGATAATGGATTGAGGCCGGTGAAAATACCATATCGATTCTGCCAAATCGGTATGCACTTGCCTCGCCTTTAGTTTTCTTCGTGTTTTTCATTCTTTGATCCTGTTTCACCAGCAGACAACAACGGGAATTTCTTTCCTGATACACCATGTCCAGCCAAGCTACCGCAATCTCCGGCACCACCGGTACTGCTGAGAACGCCATGAAATGGGATCATCCCCCGGAGAGACCCAATTTCGACTGTCCCTTGGTGTCCAAGTACGTCTCTCGTCGCCCTTCCTTCCCTTAGAGGCATGGAACTAAAAGCTTCAGGCCTAGCATCGACATCAGCACGGACGATCGTGGTTTGTCCAAGATGGAGAAGACAGTTCACTTCTCGAAATTCTTTGCCAGCAGGGATTTGATCTATGTTCATCATCTCGGCTGCAAGATCAAAGACCTTGAGTGGACCCTCAAGAAGACTCTCATACTTCATGATGAAACCCAGACGACCCTTCACGCCATCGAACAAATTGCCCCACGGCTAAGCGGCGCTAGTTCGGCCAGCCTTCAATCCTAGATCAAGCGCCTGAAGGCAGTTGTGTTGAAGCTCCACAATGAAATTCAAGCTACGACGGCCAAGATCAGCTTCGCGACGGACGGACGGGGCGCACTTGCTAAGCTGGCCAACGACATGGGTCGCGGCGTCGAGAAACTGGCCAACCCGGTCAGACCCAACTACCCTATGCAGCACGCCTTCGAGATCCTTGTTCGCGACGTCCACGAGGGCAAGATTGCTCTGCACGAGTCGGAGAAGAAGAACAAAGCGTTGAAGCAGGAGTTGGACTACGAAAAACAATCCCATGCGGAGGAGGTCACCACATTGGTCGAGGAGCGGGATGAGGCTTTGAGACGTGCGAGCATACCTGCTACCGATACATACAACCATGAGGGGGTCCTTGTCGATCTGCTGTCTTGAGACTCAATGTTTCATCTCTGGGAACGATGATTGCCCGCCATCGCGATGACATCGTTGACAAAGCAGGGCTTTGGCATCACCACTCTCTCCAGCAAAACTGATCTCAGCGCGCGGTGGGCTGCGTGAGAGAGAAGAAAAGACTGTTCAAGCCCCTGTGTTAGTGAAGAGGGAATAACCGACTGCTGCGTGCGGTCAGTTTCTGGTATCGTCACAATAAAGCTTCATGTACTTCGATCTAGGTCCCCAAGGCCGTTAAACATGCCAGACAACCGCGCATTATGGCGTCAACCTTCTTCATTCCAGTATTTTTCCCTCCCTTCTCATCTCCCCGCAGGCTTGTGGATAAGCCCATGAGTCTTCCATTCTTCACGAGGCTACTTCTTGTGCAGATGAAAACAAGAGCGAGGATAAGTCTAGCACATATGGCACTACTTCGACCGGCCAGCCGGAGGAATCTATTGTGGTAGCACATCGCGGCGGATGATCCAGAGTGGCCTTGCAAGTTGTGAGTGATTTGAGCAAGGCACGAGCTCTGATTCTGTAGACACATCAAGCCCAAGCTTTCGCTATCTCCTTCACCGTTCTCCGGAAGGTGTGCCAGCTGGCCCACCTTCAATTATGTTCGCAGGAAGCCGTTCTCTAAGAGTTGCCAAACGGATCAACGCACACTGCTGTCGGGCACCTCATCTTCCCCGAGCCGGCTGTTGGACTGTCTTCTCTCACCACGACGCCTTAACGCTCCAGATATGTTCATTACCTCCGCTCCGCATTTTGTGAAGAATTCTTTTGTGAGTTTTTATATAACTAAGGGGAATATAAGGACCCTTTTTTCCTCTACCCTAACCTAGGCTAGTCTCTTTAACTACTATATCCTTAGATAAGAGTAACAATAGCGATTAGCTCTTAGAGCTATTTACTATACTTCTTTGTTACGACCCGTTATGCAGGATAACAGTTAACCGACCCACTTGGGCATCGAGCGGCTAGGACAGGACATTTGTATTGCAGGATCACGGGAACAACAGGGACTCGCTCGGAAACGGAAGAACTATGGTACAAGTCACGTGACGATAAGATAACGATCA